TATTTATTCATTCAGCACAAACATTCTAATGAACACTCATATGAGCCATAAAATAAAAGCAATAAATGAATGAAGAGAAAACAATTGAACAAGCAATTACAATGCTCATATACAATATGTACAAATGTAATCCTTGCTGTGTTATTAAAATAATGAAATGAATGATAAAATACCTGTGATATGCATAAGTCTTAAATGTACAATGACACCGAGTAGCCGTATAATAATAATTTTAATTGTATCGATTGTACAACTGAAAACTTGCGATCAACTGTTGGAAAGTTAGGACAATCTCAAACTATCACGGTGCTTTTCAAAAGCGTCGCATTAATGTGTTATCACGCAAATATTCATTCAAGATCTGTTTTGATGGTAATAACAAAATTAATCCGAAATCGTTTGGAACAAATAGCACAAAACAGCCAGCAACTGTTGCTGTTTGCCTCATACTCCGAAAAGCGTTCATCGATTCAGTTAATCAATCCTATTGTACCGTTTTTGTAATGAATATATTCGTACATACTCACCGAGTATTTGTCCGTACAAACGAACTACTGTTCAACAGACATCCAATCGAATGTTGCACTTTCGTTGGCACAACGTGTTGTTGACTGATAATCAGTTAATCACTGATTAAAGTTTGGTTGTGTCATGCTTATTCATTACACATCATCNCATCATCCGTAATCGTTGCTCTCACCACATTCCATGAACAAACTCTCTCGTCATGAAACAAACTCTCCTCAAATGTCGTCGTTGTGGTCACAACCGTGATGAATTAAACGGCCAGACATCACACTGATTACTGACAATTTCTTTCCAGTTTGAAAGATACCATGTACTCTTGAAAAGGGTGCACTGTTAGTCTTACGTCAGCATAATCGTTTTCGGTTACAACAGAGAAATTAGCATATTTTACAATTGTATAACGTGTTCTCGTTGTTAATACGCCACTGAATTTGATTTCCTGATTCGCTTTTCTAGAGAGTCATTTGACGGTGGTATCCGGCACGGAAATGGCCACAATGGTAAGGTTTTCTTCGATTGTCATCTATCGAAATTGAATTAGTTTGAGGGTCGTGTTCATTCAGTAGTGCCTTTACGGAACTTTCGTGTGGATGAATATCTGCTGTTTTGATCCGTCAACAATGAGATTATCTGATCGTATTTAAGCGAACTCCATTTGATCGTTCACTAAACGTCGTGAGCTTGTGCAAGGCAGTCATTTATAACAGCATAAAACCCTTAGCTCAATGCATTCACGGAAACGAACGTTTATCCCTTCAAATCTTTTCCTTTGTTGCTCTCCTCTTAGGCGAGCGAATCAAGTGGATTTATGCTATCATGATTATCAGTATTTGATTGTCTTTAACTTTCCTTTCAATCCTATCAGTTTTACCAATGTAACCTACAAATCTTAGTTCCTATTGGTTAAAGTTTCAAAAGATCTCATCAATAATTATTTGCTGATCACATCACATGGAACGTTCGAAGTTTCCATTTTAGTTCATTCACAAATATTGAAATAAACTCACTTTTTTCGAATAGCTACTTATCGTCGCCCAATTTTACATATTCAAAACGATTCAGTTCANGCAATTGTCCTCTTGAAAAATAAATTGTGAAATGATCTGTTTAATCGAGCTTACTATCATTGTCCCTAGAACTATCAAGCACTGCTTATTAAACACGGAACGCAATATTTGTAAGGTGATTCAGTCTTTCGGCTTGTGTACTCCAATTTCTGTTCGCATTACACTGTTAAAATGAGCATTTTTATGTGGTGTAAACCACATCAAACCACGTGGAAAACGCTGGTGTATTGGTTCAGTTGTATTTATCAAATTATACATAATTGCTGATTAACTATAAATGAGCAAACGCTACATAAAGGTCTTTTTATGTGAACGCATAATTGACTCATCCTGTTTCATTTCTTCGAAGCCCTCGGTTTCTTCTCCAGTCTATTATTCTCCAATCTTCCACCGTTGCGCCGGTTCAATTGTTCTTCAGAAATGGTAAGATGAAACGTTTGGTAGCTTGAGTTTGACAGTGCTTGACTGTATGAATTAATTACTCAATTTCACAATTTCTGCTCTCTCTTCAAGCTTCATTTTGACTATCCTTGTGGTTCCATTTGGAAATTCTAAATGACCGAAAGTCACAAATTCCTGGTTGCTTTCAGCATCATTCTCTCCACCCTCACATCCGTGAATAATCTCTCTATGGATGGCAGTCATTCTCTTTGAAGCTGTTGTTTTTTCAGTGCCATGACTATAAAAATATTATACCCACCGATACGATACTACTGATTACATCAGTAATCTGTCAATCTGTATGTATTACATTGAGTTTTAACACAGTGTTTCAATTCGCACTTCAATTATGAGTCGTTTTTTTTTAAACTGAAAATTTTTTCAAAGAAATTGTAAAACTGAAGCAAACTTTCAAATTTGCTAACAAGTTCGTTTCAAAGTGCTTCCGTGAAAACAGCTCTTTCAATAGATTCGAACCGAATATTCAGCATCTCAAAAAAAAAAGTCCACCAATTTCTTATCACATTTCTAAACCTTTAACATTAGCTGCAAATAATCCAGTGTTCAAATCTAATAACGCAATCGTTTCCAGTACATTTTCATCAGAAATATCATCACTTCCATATGAATCTATCAGTTGTTTCTCATTCGAACACCGATAACTAATTCTCTGGATAGGTTGTTCGAATGATTTGTCGAACCATGTAATCCTACTGGAATGATACTCAAACTGCAATATGCAAACGAATCTAGTCCGCACTCACTGTGCGCAATTCAGTCATCGATCGCTCATCTTCACTTAGCGCAGGCATTCAGTTGTCAGTCCTGTCAGCTATTTCATGCTAAAAAACCGAGATACAA